TATATATATATATATATAAAAGCTTGTTAAAATTGGAGGGGGACAGTTGGTTGTATCCTCATGTAAGGATAACAAACTTGTAAAATCTTATCAGATCAGTATCGGATTTGTTAAAATTGGATATGGAAGAAATAATATTTTTTATAATATTGTAAAGCGCTTACTTGCTATTCTAATTTATTTAACAAAATTAGAGATATGTAATTGTGACACTGATCTAAATAACAGTTAATATCGATTAGACATTATGTGGGTCGTCGGTAATAGGCAATAAGCAATTGTGTATTAGCTTTAATGGCTAATTAAATGCGGCACGCTCGTGACATGTGTCACGCGCAGGTGGCAAACCGTGGGAAATTATTGTCGGCGTTCTCGCGGAAACGGCAAATCCGAAGAAAGGCAGTGCCAGGGCGGGAATGCGCGGGGAAGATGAAGAGCGTGAATAGAATATTTCGGGTCGTGACGTATCCCGAGAAACGATCCATTCGCAGCAACGAACAATTATGATTCCTTACGCGAATGTAATTATTCACAGCGTGAGTACGGCTCGCCTCATTAATTGCATTTCGCTGAGCAATTACCGAATGGTGAGCAGCGACGTTTTCTCGGCACGGTTAACCGCAACGATTAAAGGAAGATAAAAGGGATATCTACTTTTATTCACATTGAGCTGAATTCTCATCGCATGTCGGTGCTATCTCGCGCTAGCCGCGAAAGAAATTACGTACAAAGGAATCCGTATATAAAGGAACTGAAAACTTCGAAAAATTAAATTGAAAAATATTAAGTTGAAAAAGATATTGTTTTATTATTATTATTATTAACGTTGACATATAAATAATTTAATAATTTAATAATTTAATTTGACATACAAAGAATTTAATACCAAATTTTATTAAATAATTGTCTTTAACAAAATGTACGAAATTTATCGTATATCTTTATTTTATCAGCTTCTTATACGTTTCAATTAGAAAACTTTGCGTTTCTGATATCATTTAATTAAATTTCATTGCGCAAGTTGTGCGGAAAGTTCCAGTTAATTACTTCGTTATTAAGTTTTATCTAATTAATAATTTATTTACCGAGAATTCTAAGTTATAATTGCAGCGTGACATTCCAACGAGAGGAAAATTTTGGTTTAAAAATTTAAATATGAAAAAGAAAGGAAGAAATTTCTTATTATAAGTAAGTTTCATTGTTCATGGTATGAGAAACAGCTAATTGATAATAACAATAATGAAAATGATTATTTCTTCGCTGTGTTACCTGATTTCCTGTTTTTTTATATTCTCCAGAATATCAATGAGATAATATTCATATAGCAGACGATAATATTAATATGATAGAATTATACACAATATTAAGAAGGATATATTTCTCTATAACGTGAAATAACAGAACATTTTTCGTATTAGTAAATCAGGTAGATAATATAAATTATTAACAAAAAGCTGTTTATTTTTTAAAAGATTCAAAGGTAATCAGAAAAATGAAGTACAAATTCTAATTCTATAGAAATTTCTATACTTCTATTGATTCCTTTTCAGGGATTGTTCAAAACTTTAGACTGTAACAATTTTTCATTGCTCTGTTGTTGCAACAAATATTTAGAATAGTCAAATTATATTTGTTTCAGAGCTACATTTAAAGTAGTTTAATTATTTGTTGTAATTATTAATTATTTGGCAGTGGTATTCAAAATACTCATTAATTATTGGTTTCAAAGTTGCCTTCGTTTATCGTTTATTATGAGTACACCATTACTAGTTTATCGATCGTGAAATTGTATAAATAAAACTTAAATAATTTTTGATAAGAAAAACATAAAAATTATAACAAAAGATCAATTTAATTTGTTTACATTATTTTAACGTGTATATGTTATTTGTGATATGTTATCACAAATAACATATACATGTTATAATGTATGTATATCTGTATAAACAACTATTTTTAATGGTTGCATATATTATAAATTTATACAACATATATTATCAATTTTCATCGCCATGCTCAGTTCTATTTATTTTATTGCATTTTATTTTTGTATTGCAGTATTGTGACAGTTGATCTCTCTCTACGCTGAGGAAATTTGCGATCGCTGCATGCATAGATCTTCAAATAAAAAAACTTGTGCAAGGATGACTCGGAATTTACTTGAATAATGACGAGCGATCGTAATGTAATTAAAGGTACTTGGATAAAACACAAATGTAAATGATTAATTTTATTTATATCATATACATTGATAAATTACAACATATTTAAGTAAACTTTCTTGGCATTATGAAGACTTATATCTACTTCAAGCATTTTGAGAAATTTTACACCTCTTTTAATTATTATTAGAGCTTAACGTAAAGGATTCCACACTAACGAATAAAAAAAAGAGTTTCAATCGAATTGGTTAAAACTGCGATATATAATAGATCATGAAATGTTAATTAAGAGTTTCTTAGTCAAAATCATAACAAGTAGACAAATTTTGCACTAGCGCTATTTGAAATTTGTTATTTTGCATCTAATTAAAAATGTATCCTTATCTACTAAACTATTTAATTTTTAATAACTGTATCTTAATACTTTTATGCATAGAATACTGAGTCGATGTGAAGAAAATACATAGTTGCTTTTCAAAAAATTATGCAATTTGCAATATGGATACTTGAAACATTTTTTCAAACACTCAGATGTTTTCTTTACATCAATTGACTTATGTCATTATTCTGTGTATAAAAGTACTAAATAGTATTAAGTGAAAGTATTAAGGCACAATTATAAAAAAATGAATAGTTTAGTAAATAAAGATATTTTTTTAATCTGATTAGATTCAAAATAGCGATTTTTAAATGATGCTACATTAAAATCTGTTCATTTTTTACGGTTTTGCTTGAAGAAACTTTTGATCAGCATTTCATAATCTATAAAATATCACAGTTTTAGCCAATTCGACTAAAAATACTTTTTTCATATGATTAGTACGGGGTCTTTTATAATTTAATTCGTATTTTATATTTTTAAACATAAAGTTATTCAATAATGTTATATTAATTATGCAACCTTATTTAAATTTACGTAGATTTGTATTTTGTTATAAAATTCTATATTTGTATTGAATTTTTTATTTTTTACCCTGATTCTTGTTTTTCATTTTCACGTTCAGTTAACAATTAAATTTTCTCCTAAAGTTATTATTAGGGTCACCTTTTAGATTAACCTAATCTAAGAAATTATTTATAACAGGTTACTACGTTATAAATTGGCAAACATTAACGTAAGTGCACAACTTAGACAGTATTGGTCTGCAGTAGTAATACTCCGTAATAGGTCAGACAGTACGCTCCATTAACTTGACGCAAGACATTTAAGTTCGGTTAATGAACAGAACAGCAACTGAAAAAATGTTTGTGTTATTTTTAGTAATAATCTATTATTATAATTTAGAAAGTATGTTACATTACGTTATTACGTTCATATTGTCTAATATATTGTAAATGTTGTAATAACGAGTATATTTTGAATATTTTGAAGTTACTATTCTTCTTTTGATTAAAATTTTTTTTTAATTTTATCTTTCTTTATAACTATTTTTTTTAATAAATATTTTTTTCTAATTTTTTAATTGTACTTGAAATTAATATGAATATCTTCTAGTTCCATAAACAATTAAATAAAAATTTGATATAACATTTTGATATAATATGATAATATGAGAGATGATACATAATACTATCGTTTGAAAATTTGAAAACACCGCTTTTTTTTTTAGAAGAGCGAAACAGTAATATCAATACTTTCAAAGAATAGTTCCATATGAGAAATTTTACTATCTACTTTAATATTATAACTATATATTATAAATAAATTTAATATTATTATCAAGAAATATTAGTATAATTAACAGGAAGGATTATGCTCATCTCGTAATTTATAGAAGAATTTTAATTAATTTATTTTTTAATAGATATACTGATTGACTTTACCACATTTTTGATTTATGTAATCAAATTTGTTTCCAATACCTGGAACAGGTGAGTAATTCATGTACATTAATCAGTTAATTAAAATTGTAAACCATATAATATACACATTGATTAAATTTAAATGCATGAAGTTTTTGAACAAGTACGTTCTTTTTTATTACAATAAAAAACTTTATTGTAATAAATTATAATTTGTTTAATATAATAAATTATGATTCGCGCTTAACAAAAAATGAGTAATATAAATTAGGCGATATTTTTATAAAAATTAAAAGACATTCTAAATATGATACATATATATCATTAAGGTGTCTTATTTATCTATAACTGTTTTGTTATATTTCTTATAATTTGTTACAGGGATTTACTATATCTTGTAATGAACATAGATCGGTTTATTCTTTTTGTCACAATCTTCGTAAAACATACCTTTAATAAACATACGGATTTAATCCCACTTTTATTAAATTCTTTTATTGTGCCACACTTTATACATGATAGTTTACAGGATACTTTTTGTTTCGACAAATTTTTTGCTGCATCCTTCGTAATATTCTTTCTGTAATTCAATGCCTTTCTTTAAAACCGTACTCGTAATTCTCGCCGAGTCGGACATGAGTCTTGCCCGAGTTGCATTACAGGAATGTGCTCCAATAGACGACGTTAAGGATGAAGAATGAGAAAGGGAAGAAGAATCTGGAAACCTTATCGATGTAAATGGCAGTGGCTCGTCCTTGGCAGCACTGCTCATACTGAATTGTCGGTTGCCTGGTTGGACTTCTGTTTCTTTCGGTATCCGGCCTCATCGGCGTCTTTGAAAAAAGAGATTAAAAACACGTCACATAAAATATGATATGAAAGTAATAAATGTAAAAAATTATTATATATATATATTACATACATATAATTAATTGTTTCTATTTATTTCCCTCTCTTTCATTTATCTTATTAATCAAGACTTGCGAGGTAAGTAAATCATTATATTTACTTTATATAAAAAATAAAATGATATGTACCATGTAATTGAAATAGTATAGAAAACAGATTTATTAATTTTTTTATTTTTTAGCAGATATTAATTCTTAAATCATGCTTAACATCGATTTTGAACAATTAATACATTTCACGTTAGAATTAACTTAACATATTTTAACTTATTAAGTTAAATAAAAATTTTCACGTATTATTTTTCGAATAAATAAAATTCATATTTTTCAATTCAAGCATATTATATTTCTATAGATTGCGTGTAATGTGACAATATTCGTTAAACAAAAAAATGATGACATATTTTATGAGAGATTATGATAAAATGAAACTAAAGGAAAAATCTAATATTCTAATATCTCTTGCTAATATAATTTTGCTTGCAAATCAAAAAGACAAAATTCATAATAATCATAAAATTCTTATTTAACTGCGTGAATGACTTTTACTTATTAGCTATAAAAGAAAAACGATATTTATTTCGCGCACGAATGCGTTTTATCGTAAAGCAAACAAAAGTAAATACCGCAGTAGTAGCAAATATTACGCAATGGGTGTAATAAAAACGGGATGTTTTCTATGTACAAAAGGAATTGTAAGTCTGCGTAAACTACACAGAAGAAAGGAGAGAATAAATATTTCTCTGCGAATTGAGTGTGGGACGAATGCATGCAATAAAATCGAACTTTGGAACTTGTTCAAGAGGGAAATTACTGAAGAAAAGTTACTCGCCATTCGATACAATGAATCGCCTAGAAAAATGTTTGTACTTTTCGAGAAGTATACTCCGCCGTACTTTCCGCCGTCGATGCTGTTTACCGTATAACATTCGGATTCAGAAATAAATATGCGTTTGTCAGTCATATAGGTTTTTATTTAGGCGAGTTTTCTGCTTCACAATAGAATGGAATCGTTAGAGTACTAAAAAGTTCAGCTTGAAATTTATATGAAATGTTGTTTGTGTGTAGAACTACGTATTTAATGTTTCATTTCTCTTTCTTATTAAACGAATAAGTGATATAACTTTACAATACATCTCAATGATTTATACGACTCCGCAAATATCGATAATTCATAATGATCGCAATTTACAATGTAGCGCCCCTTATTTCTAGCATTTTTATTCAATTGAACGATATTGTATCAACAGAACGAATTGCATGCTCGTGGCCGACGGTACGGCGTATTTTACTTTATCTCGAACTATCAATTTTGCAGAACCAATGGAACATTCACCATAAATATCGCACCACACTTTTTCTCGTTTACCTTGAAATCGTCGATGGCCTCGCGAAGATCTTCGTCCGAGTATCCTTTCATGGCCTTCGTAGCGACTGGCCCCATGTAGTTGTTCACTACTGCGAATTCCATAAGAGACAAGAAGACGAACACACTACACGAAGACATCCACACGTCAATCGCCTTCACATACGAGACCGGCGGTAGAGATTGTTGAGACTGCGTGTTTTGAGTAGCTAAAAGTAAGATATTAACCCTTAATCCTTACATGCTTGTACAGTTACATATATACAATTCAGTTGACTTGATCAACGTCTCTCTCTACTTAACACTACCGTGTCTCCAGATAAATATGCATTGAATGAAAGCAAGTTAATTATTTCAAATAATATCATATGTCTCAGTGGTTAAATTGGTAAAAATATCAAGGAATAGGGAGATCTACATTCGAAATCTGTGGATGGAGTGATATTTTTCGTAATAAATTCTCAGTGGTTCAAGATGCACCTTAGCATTATCTTAGTATTATCAGAAATTGCTGAAACAATTTAATTTGTGATTTTACTCTAGCTCTAATTTAAAACTGTGTTTCAAGTTCGACAAATAATAATCGGTACGCAATTCGCTTGAACTGGAAATTGCACAATTGTTTACGTAAAAATGTTATCAGATACAAATATCCGCTATGATCGAACAAAGTCTTTATTTCTTATTTATGATAATTATTTTTATCATTAGATTTTATATAGTTATTTTTGTACATAGATATATGTGTATATTATTTACTGGTTTAAATTTACAATATTATAAAATATTCTCTTATGATTTTTCATGCAAATGTAAATTTAAATTTGCATAATTGTGTGAATTAAACTAACTGTAAGTATAGATATATGTACATTGAACAAAATTTTTGGTTCAATTTATTTATCTTTAACTGAGATAACTGGAATTCTGGTTGATACTATTTCTGGTAACTATTTCTGGTTAATATTTCTGGTAAAATCTATTAAAATTCTTATTTTTACCAGAATAATTATATCTCAATCAGAATTCTAATTATCTCAACTAGAATTCCAATAGATTTAACCAGAAAATTCTAATTCGTTCATTTTCCACCAGAATTACTATTTAATCCAACCAGACCATTTTTCTTAGTGTAAGTACAGGTATATGTAAGTATAAGTAGTATAATTAATTATGTAATTCTATAATAAGAATTATTTAAAATCTGCATTTTCGTTTGTTCATTTATGCCTCGGAGCATTTTATATAATTATTACGTTTAAGAAATCAATGTTATCCGCTACCAATTATTTATACTATATACTTTATTCTCGGAATTTACATCGAAATTTATCGCAAATAATTTCATTCGATTTTAGCGTATCAAAAAAGATTTAACTAATGGTTTTACTAAAATCATAGGATTTATTGAAACTATTTTGGTTCTAGTTAATTGCAATTTTGCTGATATTTATGTCATCATTATATGATACTCCGGCAAAACGTTTTATCGCGATCGTAAATATCATGAATAGTTATATCACGAGCAATGGGTGGAGAGGTCGCCTAACCAAGGGTCAGCAGTGACGTCACGCCAAGGGTAACTCGTGCCGGGATGGCTTCCGGCTTGATCCAAAAGGCGATCCAGGACATGACGACGATCAGGGCGGATGGTATGTACGTGTGGAACAGGTGATAACCCAGTCTCCGGCGCAGATTGAAGACAATCTGTATGCACGTGAAGTTTCCGGTCGAGTATTCGATCGTGCAGTCGGTCGTGTAGTTGTTCGATATGTCTAGTTGCGGCAGCTCGATTTCCGGATTAACTACAAGGGGATCGGTCATATTCCATAGGAATACCAGATCCTGAGTTGTATGCGAAACTAAAAAAAAAAGTAAATGATGTATAGAGACAAGCATGACAAAGGAGAAGGTGATATTATGGCACTCTATCCTCAAAATAATCCTATCCTAAATAAATAAATAGCCTTGATATTTTAACATAAAATATGATTATTCATAAACATATTTGGTGTAAATAATTCATTATAATCGATAATAGCTACAGATAATATGACTGTATAAACAATAATTGTAACAAAATATTAACATTGCTATTATGCTTTTACTGTACATTATTCAGTTTCTTCTTTGTTAGTAGCGAAAATATTACGATTTATGTGTATATCACAGTATTTATATAATAATATTTTATATATATAATATAATCGCTTATAAAATATTAATGTATACTTACGGCTTTCGATCATCATCGAGCAAATTTGAGTGTCATGAGGATAGGATTCGAACTTCATCGCGCATGAGAGTACCAATGTCAATCTAAAACGAATATTACGCTTCCTTGTGTGACACAATTTATTATTCAAATTTTGTTTTCTGATACAAGTTTTACTCGATAGTGTTATTTTCACAGTGACGAACAATATTGAAGTTCTTCTCTATATTTGTGTTTCCGATAAAACATACATTCAGAACAAATAAATTCGTATTATTTTATTGACAATAAAACTTGACAGAACGGCACGGCAATTAAATGCTCTATCGAATACGTTGGATTAAAATCATGGATAGAAATAAATGAAGCCGAAATAGCTATAAACAAAAACGATGTGGAAATCGAGTAGAAATATATGAACGTCATGAGAGTCTTATGTGTATTTTATAACAGTTAAAAATTTTTTGAACTTGTGTGTGCTGATTGCTGATCTTACTTGTGCTACAAAAGTATTAAAAAATTTATTATTTGAATTAGAGATCTAATAAAAAGATAAAAAATATTGAAATTAATGCATGCATTTATTATTTGAATAGTTAAAGCTTCAAAGTCAAACTCGATAACAAATTCTCTAAACTCTAGTGTTTCCTCAGGTTCCGACGCGTGACGTTGGTATTTTATTGCAGTATTTATTTCGCAAAAAATAGAGTGCTCTTATAATGTAAGGAGAGGGATGAAGAGAATAAGTTAATATTTATATAAGGTAATATGACGCTTTTTTAAAAAATAATGCATATAAAATCATAATTGTAATATATTAATGAAATTTACCTGTATTTTTGTAACAATTATAATATTATAAAAAATTTAAGTATAAGTTATCATAATATTTATAGATTTTTAGAAGTTAGTTCTAGTTTTTAATATTTTTTTTGTTCCCTTATCTCTTGTATACATATTTTATTATTAAATACTTTTATTAAAAGAATATGTCGAAAGCACAAGTTTAAATATTTATGTTAACTAAAAACATTTTAAATTATATTTGTAATTTGTATTTACATGAAGCTTGCATATTTTATAAAAAGATAATTATTGAAATGTTTTTTATTTTTTTTACACAGATGTTTATGATATTTGATACAATTATAAAATAACTGTCCGAGTCCAAAGCTGGAAATCTCACTCAAACAAAAAGTTTTAAACTAGTATTCTCGTGCGAGGAATATAGTTTTTACAGTTACAAAAAACAGCATCCCAGATGGCAAGCTGTAGTCATTTTGACGTCAACAGTTAGTCATTTTAAATTATTGACGTCATGTTATCTATTTAAGATGTAACAATGATGTCATTTTTTTACCAATTAATAACGTCATTTATTTATTTATTCTGCGACGTATTTACACCGTCATACTTATTAACGTCGGATAAATGATTAATCAACGACGTACTTGTAACGTTATTAGTGATCAATTAATAACGTCATTCATTTCTACAGTTAGTAACACGAATTTAATGACGTATTTTCGACTTCGGTTTATATAATGTTATATAACGTTATATGGCTGTGACAAATTCACGTCATTTTTATGATGATAGGACATTGAATTTATCAGAAGTGACTAGTTAATAACGTCAAATAGACTTAATAGACGACACATTGCTATCTGGGATGTTTGGTACGAAAAGTAAATTTATTACTTTAATTGTATAATGAAGATAAGAGAGAGAGAGAGAGAGAGAGAGAGAGAGAAATTAAATTGTATAATAATTATCATATATCATAATAATTCTTGTATAACTCATAGGTATGTAATTAACGAATATTAACATTTAATTTCTAATATTATTAATTAATAATTATTATTAATTCTTATTTAACATATTAACGCATTTTTTATAAGAAAAGTTTAAATAAAAAGTCACATTTATTGTAAAATGCTTATAATTTGCTAAGTGGAACTAAACTAACTATTAATAATGATTAAGAGATTTATAAACTTACTTGGACATGTAAAGAAGCGTTTTATCGTGATACAGCCAAAGATAATGATTTGGTATGGACATCTCGTGAAAAGTAACTTTTTTCGCATTCTTGAAGAAACAGTCGGGTCTCCAGATATTGTGCAACCAATCTACATCAAGTATCCGATAATCCTCGGACATGTTTTCCGGTAGTCGTAGCCTAGAATCCCGCCAACTCTGAGCGAGAAATATGTCGGCCACGTATGTCTGTCGTCGCGGAAAAATAATTGTGAACAGATGCACTTTATGTTTTCAATAAAAACGTTTCAATTTTTATATCCTCGCATATACAGGGTGTATTCTAAGTAAGCTAAAAGATTTTAAAGGGTGATATTTTATACCCAAATTTCGTTTAACTTTTGAACTAAGAGTGAGCAAACGAAAATTCCGACGGAGCATTCGTGAGCAAACAATGAGCAAACGAATGCAAAAAAAATTATTCGATTTTTTAATATTGGGGGGGCTAGCGTGAAGTTGGCCCCCCAAAATTTAATTTTGTATAACTTTTGAACTAGGGGTGAGCAAACGATGAGCAAACGAATGCAAAAAAAAATTATTCGATTTTTTAATATGGGGGGGCTAGCATGAAGTTGGCGTAGCACGCACAGGAGATGTGCTAGTATAATTAAAATTAATATAAAAAATGGAAAGAGTAACCCAATAAAATGTAATATACACAGATGTGCATGTAATATTCTGGGGAAATATTCAACAAAACAAATTTCTTCTCACCATCGATTCTTCATTTATTGAATCTAGGCTGAGCACTGTTACATGGAAATAAACGATAGTAGGTTGGCCGAGAAATTTTGGAGCTCTATGCTTATCGTATTGTTTTGGATTCAAAGGCAGGATATCCCTCAGCGACAAAGAAGTTTCCTTTTTTCCGTACTCATCGAAGTCCAGTTCTCTAAAATGTCAAAAAATGATAAAAATTTGCTAATCGACACTATTTGTATATCTGTATCTATATATTTGTTAGAGATTACATTAACTACAACATATCATATTTAATATTGGAAAATGCATATTCTATATCATTCATCTGCAAACAAACCAATTTTAATGCAATAATATATTTAACGAATATATCTCTAATTAAATCAATAATTATTAAAGAAACATTTTTTGATCAAATCTTATTATACAATCTGTATTTAAGTAAATAAAAATCGAAAACGTTTTATTTTCTAAAGCAATTTAAAATCCATTTTTTTACTTTATGTTGTCGAAAATTATAAATCACTGAAAAGTATTTTCCCACTAATAACTATTTTAATTAAGATTATTCTTTAAGATAATACTTATGTAATAGACAATAAAATAATCTTTTTAAAGATTACTCTGTAAAAATAATTGGGTTACATTTTATTATAGTTGAACGGATTATTAAAAAATATGTTAATATAGACAGTGACTGAGAACAAAACATGTTTATATAAACTTGATTTAAAATCACTTTATGTTACTGCAAAATTCGGCAAGCCGATAACTTTTAAGAATTTCTTTGAATATTTTTATTTAGTAATGTTTATTACTAAATAAAAATATTTAGATGTGTAAAGTAAAGTTATTGTAGAATAATATGTAAAGTAATTATTGTTTATATTAATATTAATTACATATGACTACGAATGTCATTAAACAGAAATACGCGAGAAAATTTTATGTACTAATATACGACGTATTCTTTATGTATTCTTTATGTATTTTTGTGTGAATAATCTTTTTATAATATATAATAATACTAAATATGTTAATAAAAATTAAATTGTTTTTTATTCATTAACTGAAATGAAAAAGAAATAAATAAGAGCATAACTGGAAACAATTTGTAGTAATGACCTTAAGAGTTAAATATATAGCTTTGACAATGATATCGCTGGTACAGCGATTTTTATCGCAGCATCGATGGCACTCAAGTTATTCACAGACCACAAGAATTGAGTACGCGGTCTGTTGGCAATTTCATTATTACAGAGTGGATGCTATTTTTCTTAACCGGGTCACGTTGGACACGATCGCTAACTGCTAGAATTTTATTTGTTCAATTAGGATGTGATTGCAGTATTGATTGAAAAATAAATGCATCGGGAAATGTAGTACGAAGACGTGACATATATCTGCTATTAAATCACGCATTTATAATCTGCGAATATACATATATGTCGGCAGTATACGATTTAATGTGTGATACTATTTATGATGGAATAGATATTATAAATGCAAGAATAATGAAACCCGTAACTGTACATATTTATTTCATGCAAGAAATTTATCATATTACATTTAAATAATATCACACTTATTTAAATAATGTATTTCTTTCTCCTTTTACAATCATTGAAAATATTATAATTATATTGTTCACTTAGTTGATATCTTTTATAAATTTACAGAACAAGAAAATATAATTTAAAAGAAAAAATTTAGATGTAAAATATTATTTCTATTGAGATTATTGATTTCGAAACAATTAGAATGTTAGTTCGACAAAGAAAGTGTAATTGCGTACTTACGGAAAATGCGGAGCGGTCATGTCAAGCAAGGCGTATAGATAGCAGCATATAATCAGCAGAAAATGCCACGTCATTCCTGAAGAAGGCAGAGAATATAAAGAGTGATGCCCCAAAGAAAGAGCAATGTATGCAATGGAGTATGCAAAGTTATAAAGAATTCATCGACGCGGAGGGATGAGATAGTGTTGAATTCGCGGACGTCAAAGAACACTTCCGTTCTTCTATGAGGGGAAGGATATATGTTACGTCCATTTCTTCACAAAGAAGTTTACTAAATTTCAATGAATCTATTAATATTTATATAGCTAATTTAATTTTTGACTCAATAAATAACACTCGAACTGGAAAATCTCATACTTTTTTATTGTTTTCTGCTAATATATAGATAGTGCTGCATATTGAAGATTAACAATAAGCAATTTGTTGCTTCCTGTTCTTATTAATGTATATAAAATCAATATAAATATCCATATATGATTCAAATGCATGATTTGATAAAGTAGAAAATAATACATTACAATTATTTTATAATATACCAACAATGTAATGTTAAATTTAACCACTCTCGTCTTATACTGATTAAGAAACTTTAGAAATAAAATTTCGTAGCACAAGCAGTTATTAAAATCTCTGCTTTCTTATTAATCCTCGACATGACATATTTCACGGGCCGTTTCCTGCGTTGCATCTCATATTTTTAAATTTTATGGTCCTTCACACGACGATTTTCCGATCCAATTTTCCACTCACCGATCAACTGCACATTCTATCGTTCGGAAATCCGAATGCTCTCGACAAAGATTGAACGGAAGTTATTAACCGCTCGCCTGAAAATATTTTTCGCCGGACGATCACTTCCGGTCCCTCGTGAATCAATGAACATTTGAATTACATTCAAACATAGCGTCTTATGAATGAAGCCACGTGGATCAATGTTGAGAATCTCGATGAGTCACGTTGTCAACAAGGTTTTATAAATTGCGATCTACGTAGACCTATAATAAATCAACAGAAGTCATTTTTATTAAGAATTTTTATCAAGAACAATGTTTTGAACACTTTGAGTATGCGTTAGTCTCATAATAATCTCAAATTAATGATATTAATTAATAATCACTTTTTTTATTTAAATATTATTCAGTAAAAATTAAATTATATACGAAAAGAACGGTTTTACATTGTCTAAAAATTTAGCTAAAAACAATTGTAAAAATAATTTTATTAGATTATCAAAATAATTATGTAGGACGTTCTAGCTGGTTCCTAAAATGACAAAACTATTTGCAACATTGCAGCATAGTGATGGGATTTCGGTTCCGGTCACGTCATCGTTTCGATCCCTCCACTTTGTTTTATCAAGCGAAGCGGAGCGAGCGAGACCGAGAGAGTCTGTTCTTCTCGTGTTCGGCAATCTTCGGTTCACCGAGCGAACGAGACAACGAGAAAATTCTCTTGTTGTCTCGTTCCCTTGGAGCGCCGAAGATTGCCGAACGTGAGAAGAACGGACTCCATAGCTGTCTCACTCATTTCACATCGCTGGTAGAGGAAAATAGAGGGGTCGAAACGCTGGTGTACTCGGAGCTAAAATCCTGTCAGTGTCACTGTTAAAGCATTGAGTATTCTACATAATTATTTTGATAGTCCAACGAAATTATGTTCAAATATGTCTTTCTAAATTTTTAGAGACTTCAGCAAAATCGTCTTTTCTATTTAAAATAAGGACTTAAATTAAGTTTTTTAATAAGATGTACCTACAAATCTCTTAGAAGTTATCGAAGCTTAGCTGGTCTTTAAGTAATCATTTTAAATCACCCTTTATTAAATGCACCTTTTTAAAAAGGTAAATTTATTAATACTTACACAGTGAAATTTTTTGAAGATAACGTTTTATAAAAACAAGTATAAATCACAGATTACATAAATGTAACCTTTAAATATATAAACTTACACATGTATAACACTATAAAATTACACACATAACATACTATATAAAAATGAAAAGGTTTATATAACAAATGTAAAATATTTTAAAAGAATTTTTTGGAAAAAAATAGTATGAATTTCTGATTATTTTAAATTTTTACCAAGTAAAAAAATAATGATAAAGAGCCATTAAAACATACAATGTTAATAATATACTAAATATCACACAAAGTGCACTTAAAAGTAAAAAGAGCAAATACACACTTAGAGAGTAATTAAAAGATTACAAATTTTACATATATATTTATATATAAGAGTTTAGAAATATTTAAATATACTTTTGAATTCATCATAATTCTCAATGATCGAATGACATAAAGACATAGTTATGAAGATTTTGTTTGTAATAAAACAATTTAAAAATCCGTCATTGAAAATTATTTAAAATTAATTACCTTCTTAATTTCACACGATATTTTCTAAGGATCTTAAACACGACTACAGACCTACCTATATTGGCACTTTTTTTTGTCAATTTCAATTTATAGTACTTTGAAAAGATCGTCGATAGCTTGATGCTATTTCAATTCGCGATATCTTTCAATATACGAGGCTCTCTTCGTTTCTTTTAATCACAACCTCTGTAAGAAGAAATATCAAGAAACTTGGAACGACGCGGACTTTCTCGTGTGTTTGGTACTCAAGATTTGTCATACGGAAACTGGTCATAACGTTGCACTTTCTTTCTTGCCGTCCGTAAACCACTCTGTCGGATTTGACCGTCTCTAAGCCAATTTGTCTATCGACAAACTGATTAAACCCTACTCTCTTTCATTTGTAGTATCGTGTAACGTCTAAGCACATAGGTCTAAATTAAACATCCTGCAGTTTTTAATTAAAGGCGTTGGAATTAAAAACGGTAGGATGGAGGAATGTAGGAAGATGAAAATAAATTATTAACTAAGTAAGAGAAGCATCAATTACGGTCAAAGTTAGATATAGTAATAATATTTCTATATGTATATATTTTTAATTCATTTATTTCACAACATATATATATATATATAACTGCGCACTGATTACTTTCGGACTTGCATACAATCAAACATAAATGTTAATAATTACATGAAATTAAATTTGATCGTTAATGTGATGGTATTTTAAATCTGTAAAAAACTAATTGCGAAAAATATTACTTCAGCTGGGATTCGATCCCGGATTTCTTGAATTTTGTGCGGTTATCCTTCCAATTTGACTACCAATGTAATAATATGTTTATCGCAATAATTATATATAGAGAGAGTACGTATTAAAAGGCGGCATAGTGTAAATAATATTAAGTTTGAAACAAAACTGTTTATTATATGAATACATTAATTAATATATAAATATATTAATGAGTGATAAATGTATTAAAATACACAATAATGCAAATATTATTCCAGCCAACATCTACATACTTTGACAATAATTGGTGCTTCTGTTAGTATTAATGTATTTATATAAGCGGTCGTGTCCTAAACTTAATAAAGTGAATTACATTTATTAATTCTATTTTCGTATACTGCAGGAAAAATATATCATGAGATTGAATATTGCAAATTGAATATTAACAAACTATTTGTAAAAAGTACTAAAAAACGAATAACAAATACATATATACAATTAATATATCATAATATGTAGATCTTTTATACACTTTCAAGTGATTTGCTGACTCTTATGTGCCCTTCACATCTTCTTATTGTTTTTTTTTACTAAAAAACAAGATATAATTGTTTCTCTATTGTAAACTGTTAATAAAGTATGTTTAAAACGTGTGTATGTGTGTGTTCCCTATTCTTTTGATTGTGTAGAGTTTCTAAATACTTCGGAATCTTCGGATACTCGTTCATTATCAGTGTGTAACGCGAGTTTTACACACGCTGTGGCATGTTTCTGCCGTATCGACATTACCCAAGCTGCAGCAAAAGAAAAATTACATAAATGTAAGTATACATAAAATATATGCATATTATCTTTATATTTACAATTTGTGGATGTAGCCGGACTTGCGCTCAACATAAATTTTCGATTTAGATGTTAAAACTCGCACTGCATCAATTTTTTGACGTTACGACTTTAACAGTAGAGTCGTTAATGTGATACGTAGTTCGCATCATTCTATAAAATTGATGTTGGTGTCGCTAGTGTACAGGAGCTTCCAAGCTCACACGAATAACAAAGACTGGGATAACTTCTCTCAGGTGTTTTCTCTGGTAAAATCCAGATATATTTTGGAATTGCGTACAGTCGATATAGAAGTTTTCATACTTTACTGGAGACTGTTAACTATACAACTTCAGATATATGTATGTACTCTACTTCAATATTATAAATCTAAAGTTAAGTTTTATCTTACTATGTGTTCAATTTTACATTAACCATTTCGCTTTCTATTTATAATATTTTTCAGTATTATACTATTATAATTATTTATGGTATATTTACACGTTGTTATAATACACATTTTTCTATTTTTATGTATAAATTAAACAAAAATTTTTCAAAATTTTTAGTTTCATCAAATATATGCGTATATGCAAACAATATACATTGTATAACTCTCTAAGTAATATAATAATTAAATAATACAATATACTAATACAATTTATACGAAATCGAAATTTAATGAATAAATGTAAATAAAGAATATCGTGTTTATTTAAAATAAAAGGGGATATTTGTATAATAAATAAACGACAACAACTCCAATGGACAGGATTTTCCTGCATATTTATATCAGATCATACATTATTTCCAAGATAATCCTTGGAAGCTGCGCACCGCGCGATCGAGCCGTTTCGCGAGCTCCCATGTTTTCTGTCGCGTGAAAAAGCGTCGAAAAAACTGAATCTACGCGAAATCAGAATAGAAATTCGGATATTGGCTGGTCTTTCCTATAAGACCTTGATATGTTCAATTGGAACCACCATCTTTATTCTCAGTTTTAAGCAGGGAAAATTAACATTTAACTCCTTGCGTCTCTTTTAATTTTTCTAGATATTTTCCTTAATAAAACCTCAGATAATGGAAAATTAATAGTTTTTGTATAAGTATAAAATTATAGTGTGGTCGATACTTATATCTAACACAATAATTATTAATTAATACTACAAGAAGTATACAAGAAAGACGTAATATACGTTTACTTTATATGATAAATTGATTAATTGATTTTGTAATCTAATTTGCCTTGATAATAATTTTCACCATTATGTAATTTGAAATAAATTATATATATAATGACGCAAGGAATTAATTAATTTAATAATATAGTTAATTAATTAATAATCAAATAGTAATTGCAATTTCGGCGATTCATTCGTCTTTCTGTCTTATTTGTCACAAAATGTTTCAAAACTATGACTGGCATAATCGATTCCGCGAGTCTTCGTACTTCGCAATGGTCTAATAACTAAATTAATTAATACAATACCTTAGTAAGATTCTATATTATCATATATTATTGCTACGCGAATCTCGAAGCACGAGGCTGGAAGAGACTGACGGATCGTTGGATACGACATAATTGACGGTTACAGATTGTTCTATTCGTTCGTTTTGTAAAGCTGCAGAACTTTAAGCCTTCATGCATCCAATATATAGATACCATTATTGCAGGAAGTTAAGTAAGATTTTTTAATTTTGAAATATTAATAAATAATTGTAAATATTAAATATTTTGTGATATTGGAAGAAATTGTCTTCCAAAAAGTTTAAATACCATTCTTTATTAAAATACAGGTAATTCTTCTTTAATTTTTCAATAAAAAATTTTATTTAATTAGATAAAAATATGTATAGCTAAAAATATAACATTATGTTATATTTTAATTAAATTTATATTTTTTTATACTGTCTGAAATATGAATGAAAATAATGTTGCATCCGCTTATCTCTCTCTTGA